AAATGACAAATGACAAATGACAAATGACAAATGACAAAAAAACACAATGAACCCAGAAACCCAATAAATATTATCCAGAACCTACATATTTCGTCAACTTGGTTCCTTCTTAAGGATAATTCAGAGCAAGTATTCTTAAACGCAAACTTTCTCGAACGCTCAAAACTAAGTAGGAACTAATAAATATATCTATGAGTTTTCCCAAACTTACCTTGAGTTGTCACTTGCTAATAAAAGACAAAAGGAATGTTGAACAAACGACAGCTAAAGCTTCTTACATCTTCATGGTCTTGGTCTTCGCTTGGACTTTCTTTTTGAAGGGTGTTCCCCGTTCCCTGCTGCGTCGACAAAAACATGACGCCATTAACAGGTGAAACGATATGCGCATGCTCAAGGCGTGTGTCTTCTAGAACAATCTAGAACGCAGAGACTGCGTTTCTTCTTCTTGCATATTTCCTTGATTCTTTTGATATAAATACATCCAAAAATACTGAGTTCGTCAGCGAATATGCTTTAACATAGATTCCTAGATATCGTCCCGCATTCAAAAGCAACATTCCAAATTATTATTCGTAAAGTAGATATGGTTTCGATTTATAGAACTTCGAGAAGCTTTCGAGAGCTAAATCCGAGAAAGTAACTTCGTGTTACCATAAAAATAAGTGATAAAGATTCAGGTTGAATTGATGATTGCGAAAAATTTGAGCAATACAAGCCGGAGCATCTTTTCCTCAGAAATTGTAGGTTTCACACAGTTACCACACAATATATGAACCCAAAAGCCTAATAAATATATATTAATCCAGAACGTGATTCCCTGGCAAGGATGACTCAGTTCAAGTATTACAAATAGTAAGCTTTCTCGAACTAAATAAGCAGGAATTATAAGAAATATAACTTAGCTTGAGTTTTCACTAGCTAAAAGACTATAGAAATGTTGACCAAACGAGAGCTATAGTTTTTGTTATCTTTTTGAAGTGGGTTCCCCGTTCCCCTGCTGCGTCGCAAAAACAATACGTCATTAACAGGTGAAACGATATGCGTATGCCCAATTTGAGTCTTAAAGAATGTAAATATATATATATTTAAATTCATTCATACTTTTCTCCAGAAATTAGAATTTCTCTATAATATCAAATCATAAGAACTAATATTATCAAGAGAGGTCTCACTTTAMATGTTTTGATATTTCTAGCTGGTTATCTAACACTGAAATTAAGGGCAGTTATCTTGGTGCTACTCGATGATATAAACAAACTTTGGCGTCATTGCACTCCATGTCAGTCGGAAGCACTAAAAACTTTTTCCAACTTTTTTCGCATCATTCATTTCCACTTTAACCTAAACTTTCCAATAAATTAAATGTTGTTTGTTAATCGTAAT